TATTTGTTGAACGACCCTCGTATTTATCCTCTTTATGTAACTTTTTGTCTTTTTCCCATGTAATTTCATAGAAATTAAGCTATGATTTTTTCAGGTTCATTCTTTTTGAACTGTAGAAGTTAGATACATTTACATAAAACATCACTAAGTTTATTATAAATTTGAACATATAGTTAACTTAGTAAAATAATATCATGGCCACTCTGTATGTAAAATGATGGAAGGAAGACGAGTTTGTCTTAAACTTATTTTTTAAAAATTATGTTTATTTCGTCTTTGGTCTTAACGCAACAGACTTTGTATGCACATAATGTGAAATTTACAGTGCAAAATGTTCTCTGCACTTTTGTAGAGAATTTGTATTGTTTAAATGGGCTCATATTTTATAATTGTCCGAATGATTAAGGGAGCTAAAATGCAGATGTTTTAATGTAATAAGCGGCGTAACGGGAAAATCCATGGAAAATTCAGTTTTTAATATTATTATTAGATTAATAATTTTTGAACGTGTATATTGTTACACACATGTTAAAAAGAAGAGTGGACGATTGAAAATTTTTACTTATCACATTTATCATTATGATTTGTTGTTAGAATAGCATTAAAGTCTTTTTCTTGTAAAATATCGAAATATAAAAGACATACACTGTGCTATATTTTATTTTAAGCTCACTGGGATATATTGAGACGACATATCTTTGAAAGAAGCTATCATAATTAATTTAAAACACTATATATGTAAGTGTCGAGTTGAAGATCACAGTAACTGTTCTTTTCTTCTCGTGTTAAAGATTTTTTTAAAAATAAATTCTGCTTCACATTTATTGAAAATTAAGTTTGCTAAGAGTGCAATTAAGCAGAACATGTAAGGCAATTAGGAAGCGGGCCTAGTCTATAGGGAAATATTAACTATAAAGTCATTCATAAATATGAAATCTTCAATACCACAAAATGATTTTTCTTCGAATTTTCTAAATGTTCCTTGGAGTTTTTAAGTTTGTGAGTTATGTATGCATTTTATGGAACAAGTCCCGAGGTTTCATTTTCGTATGTTATGTAACTTGTATGTTTGTATGTCATTATGAAGTATAGAAATAAAATGTAAATAATGGTTATGGTTCTATAAGTGAGATAAAAAAAAATGGAATAAGAAAATCCTTCTCTTTACGTTTTAATAAGAAGAATTGCAATGCATTAAACTCGTTTATTTTTCGTATAATGATATATTTAGTTCTCCATCAACTCCCTTCAAACACAAAATAAGATCTCCATTAAATAAGAATTTTATGGGGTACGTTTTGTAAAAATTTGACAATTTTTTAAGAAGGGTCAAAACTTTGAAATGAATATGTACTAAAACAAATCAAACAATAGGCTCATGCACAACATAAAGCACTTTTGCACTTTAGCTGGACAAAAAAAAAATCAGGAATATTTTCAGTATTGAAAATGTTTAAAAATAAAAAAAAAATATGACCCAGTTTACCCCTCCCCCCATGATTTGAACAAAGTGGAATCTACATCCCAGAATGATTCAAATTTTTTATTATTATTTTCTGGCAAAGTGGTTATTAAAAGAAAATGAACTTTGGTTATGGAAGGAGGATATTAGATTTAGGAAAAACAATTGGTGACAATTTTTCTAGATACTCAAGATAGTCCTTAATGCATTATTGAATTTGTGTGAGGATCAGAATTTTTTTTTTTGACAGATTAATAAAAGTTTATCTATAAAGTCATTATAGTGGTCAATATTTGTACAGTTTTAACCATATATCATGTAAGGCTTTAAATTACTCCCTTTGCCAAAGTAACATGTATTGAACAAGTTTTACCCATCACCCTGTGTAAGTTTGGTAATAATCTGCCCAATAGTTCTCAAAAGGATATGTTATTAAATAACCTCTTGTTTTGTTTTTATCTACCTTGTTTAAAGGACATATCTTTATTTTATTTAAAATGAAATTAAGTCCTATGGCCAAGAATGTTGTAAACCAACTTTTATTCGCCTGAGAGAAACTTTCGCAATGTTCGTGAGAGCCTCGTCATTTCAAACATTTATCGCCACAAACCGCTTCTGAAAGTCTCTGTTGCTATTAACAACAAAAAGCCCTGATCACCAAAATTTGTCATCGAGTATTATAATCTGGTAAATAGCGAAATAAAGTCATCGAAATAAAATTTTATATTACAGTATTCTGTGACAAAGAAAAAATTAGCCCAATCAGGGTGTTGTGCGATAAAGCTCATTTCAAAATAAAACAAGAGACCCATAAAATAAAACAAGAGACCCGAAAGCGTTGAATCGCTTTTCGGAGAAATTGTTCAATCTGTCAGACTTGATGTATCAGACTATACATACATGTAGTCATGTAAGTATCCTGTGTGGCTATAGTAGTAGGTTATCATGACTTCCATTTTGGTTACAACATTTTCAGAGCCTAGGATAATCAACTGAAATTTTCTGAGGACCCGAGATGCATAAAGTGTAGGGATGTCAAAATATTATTTTTCCTTAGTCGAACATTCGGATGCATGCATCATTAGAACCATAATCGATTTTTTGAGCATTTATTCATTTTATTTTATTTATAGCGCAGTGTTTTTGAAACCTTATTAATTAAAATCAATTAGAAAATTGAAATAAATTGGAAATGGGGATTTATAAACATACACTATCCACATCACCTATGAAAATGTTTATTCATAAATGAATGCCCAAGCTATCAAAATGTCTTAATGTAATATTATTGTTTTAACAATTATGGAGGATTAATACTTCACGGAAATGAAAATATTGTGTGTTCCTAAGCATTTGAAATTCCTATATAGAGCTTATAAATATAATTGGTACAAGTCAATTAATTATTATGATTTTTATAGTCCAGTAAAGTGTTGCATAATTTACTACGTTCAATAATAAAAAAGTCAGCGATTGAGAAATAATCATCGAGGTATGTAATTACTGTATTTTCCATATGTACATTGTAGATATATATACTGTGCCTCTATTTGAGCTCTTATTCGTCTGAGGACGTACACTGTAAATACATTGACATAGATTGATGATATATTGTTAGCCATTCAGGACCTGAAATTTCTAAATGTAGTCATAAAATCTTTATAATAGATCACTCTGTCATTTTTTGTTTGACATTCTCCAAGGACCTAATATACTGTAATTGACGAAAATTGTAAAAGACAATCAGTACATGAACTAATTCGATATAGCCGTAAAAATTCAAAAGAAGGTCGCCATGAAAGGTCACCAAGACCTACTCATAAGTTGACATTATCCGGGACCTACATGTACTTTTAAGTAGATGTTGTTTGACGACCCAAGATACATCAACTGTATGACAAAGTTTGGTGATAACATCTTGAGAAGATTTTAAAATGATATCGATGCCTTTAATTTTTATGAATTCGAATTTATCTTCCGGAAGAAGAAAATATCATAAATAGTTTCCTTAAATATTAGCTGAACATTTAAGAAAAGTGAAGTCAAATGTCAAACAAAAGGTCAGGCCGGTCAAAATTGTTGATGCAGTTGAATACGTGTTCTCAATATCGATCAACATAGGAAGTTTGATACATGTATAAAGATATCTTAAATATCTTGAAAATGAGCTGTGAACTGATCTAACACAAACATAGACAGAAGGACAGAAGACGGGCGTAACAAGCTCTATATGTTTCGTACATTTCCGTGGCGGGGATAAAAATCAGCCAAAGTCAAATGAGTGATTCATATTAAAATAAAATCTCCCTAGGTATCCACCCCTCTCTCCAGCTCGACCAATCATCTTTTGTAAGTCAGGAAGTCTATGGTTTTTGCCGTGGAAGACTGGGTCCTGATGATAACACGCCGGGCAGGAAGATTGACCCCAGAGGACCTTAACCATGTTAACTGACCCCTGTCTGAAGGCCCTTTCTAAAATGCCTCTCTCGTCAAAGGTCAAACCTGCATAATCAAAGGTCAAACCTGCAAGACCAAAGCTCAAAACTGAAAGATCAGGGACAACAACAACAAAAAAAAAAAAAAAGAAACAAACAAATCAAAAAACAGTTATGATATTTATATTTACATATTTCCAAGCAAAAAATATTCATTTAGAAGCAATTTTCTTCCAGAAAATATTGAACGCAGACTTGAACAAAGTTTACATTTTTACCAAAGATGTGTCTTTATATATTATACGAGACCAATTACTGACACAAAAAATTGCGCTCTATCTTAAGAAAAAAAGTCAAGAAAAGACCTATTTTTTGTTTTATTTTGATTGGATTTAAAAAAAATAGCATCATTTTCGAAATGAGTTGGATTTTTTCTTCATTTTTTGCATTGTACATAGCGCCGAAATTTTAATAATTTTTTTTTTTCTGCAATAGCTGCACGCAACGTTGATTCCCGTATTAACAACAAAAGAAAGAATCTATTTAACCATTTTTTGAATGTATGTTGAAATTAGATGTCATATTTTTATATTTCCTTCTAATAATATAAATTGAAGTCATAGTATTTCATTAGAAAATTAAAAGCACTAAAAGATTACACTTTTTCGGGAAAAAATAATTTTCGACAAATTTTCCATAGGAAGTACTCGGCATTCATATGATCTTACCAGGGACTTATATACAAAATAGTACATATAGTCCTATTCTCTTTAGAGGAGTGACAGGGCTTTCGCGTGTAGGCGAAAGCCTGTCCACTATTCTAAAGAGAATAATATATAGTCCCTGATCTTACATCATATTTTAATTTGGGGTTAGTTCATAAGAAAGTAATTTTTAGTTATATTTAAAAAAAAAAATCAGCCTGCCTCAAAACTGAAAAGTCTTAAAAGTTACAGGAAACGGCTATTTTATTCATTAAAAGTATATAAAGCAAAAACGACTGGGGGTGTGAATAAGTAAAGCAGCGAAACGAACCCGGAACCTGCAAGCGTCAAATCGACGTTGATTCCTGAGAGGGAGCGGTATTCTCAAAATGTCGTGAACAAGAGGAAGGCATAAAAAACCGTAGTTTCTTCTCAGATTTCAAGAAAAAATATGCAAGGTACAATTTAACCAAAATCTTCGTTTGATAATGACGAGTGATGATTGTCTGTGTACTTATTATGACTCGTGCACTAAATCATATCCTCAAAAATTCCTAGAATGGTCCACAGGTGGCCTATGAATGACCAGGATACATTAACAGCTGGTCAAAGCGAGATAGAGAGAGAGAGTAAAATTAATGTAGTAGAAGAAATGCCCCATTAATATGTATTACATACAATAATGTTACTAGAATAAAAGCTATATGAATTGTTTTTGACAGGAGATTATCAAAAGTCTTTTGAAAAGAATGTGTATAATAAAATAATGAGTGTTGTTTAGAATTCCTTTGGAGAAGATACCAAAGGTCAGAGGTTATGACAAGATTACAGCAACCAAAGGTCAGAGGTTGTGACAAGATTACAGCAACCAAAGGTCAGAGGTTATGACAAGATACAGCTGACTAGTATTGTGGATCATTACAGATTGTAACCTATAGCCATGGCAACCCACATCAATAAAGTAAGTGTTCAGCATACAAAAAATACTACTGAAGTGATTGTGTTGATTTAAATTTTTCAAATGTAGGTTCAGATAAAAGAGGGGTTAACACAGATATTTATGCATACCCTGTAAAATCACTGCTAGGTCTACACGTACAAGTAGACGTACACGGTGAAATGCTTAACCTCTCTATTAATGTCTTACATGTGATTGTGTGTTGATTTTAGTTTTTGAACGAAGGATCAAATATTGATGTCTTAATTGTGAATGTGTTGTTTTTAAGAACATTGATGCCTTGTCTTTATATACAATAACTGTCATTTTATCGCTTGGTTTTAGAGTATAGGATCAGACATTGATGCCTTGTCTTTAATATAAAAAAGTGATTTTTTTGGTTTTAGAGTGTAGAATCAGATATTGATGTCTTACATGTGATTGTCTTGGTTGTAGAACACAGGGTCAGACATTGATGCCTCGTTTTCTTCCTCCTTCTGTACGGAGCTGGATGAACAGATGTTGGTTGCCATGGAGACACTGGAGAGGCCTCAAAGGTCACAGAAAGGTCAGCATAAGGGTTATTATGGATTTGCATATAGATAACAGAAATTGTCAATATTGAATATTGAAATGAAATTAATTACTACAATAAAACTTGACTAATCCAGATGTTGTGTATCCTGAAGTCTTGCTTCATACCATGTTAACTTTTAGTCCACTTAATTCATTTGTTTAAAATGTTGTCTAATCTGAGATAATGTCTAATTTGGCCAATTTCTTTGGAACCAGTGGTACACGGATTAACAACTCTTACTGCATTTAAATGGGCCCCTTGGGATTGGGAATTTAATAGCATTTTATTGCTTATTGGGAAATTTTATTGCATAATGTTTTCAAGAGAAAAACACTTACGATGAACAGAATGGATCTTTTACTAACTTTTAACTATTCAGAACTGTAAATTAGAGAATAGATCAATTAATATACCGTAAACATATTACATTTGGCTGTGTATTCTTTTTAGCGGCTTTGGCGGAACGCAGCAACTGCTAAATCAATTACAAAGCTAAATGTCTTGCACATATACAAGTAAATAAAGATAATTACGAAGAAATGTGCTAAATGAACTTTATACTAACTTATTCAAAATTCAATATCCGCCAAATGCCGTGCATGCTAAATATAATACATTTTAATTACAGTAATAACATACATGCCAACTTATGAAAATTTTCTTGGGGGAGATTGCGCGTAATGACATTTTTCGAAGTTCCTAATTCGCGGCATTTTGTCGTGAATAATAACCATTTGTAAGGTTTTTTTTATTTAAATATCAATCAACTACCTTGTATCATATATTATCACTACTTCAAAAAGTGTTTTCTTCTCTATCAACTTCAACAAAAGCACAAATACAATATCATTTGAAATTTAAAAAAGACAATTTTATTCAAAACCATTTAATATGTAATATTAACTTAAGGTAAACATACCCCCTGCCTTAAAGAATGTGATACACAAACAGATTGTTACATGAATAAGGGTGTTAAACTTTACAAATAAGCTGAAGTAAGTTATGTTTATGCTGCAGTTAATACAACGTCCCAGGTTACTGTTCATTGTCTGTTGGTAAATTACAAAGTTTATAAGGCTACTGTCACAGACACATTTTTTTTTTTAAATCAGAGGGAATATCAAGAATTAATTTTTAACATTTTTGTTCAAAGTCTTTATCCTTTCTTTTTCTGAATCACTCCTAATGGTTTGTACTTGTAGTTGCAGGCAAATCTTTTCATGTTGGATTTGGGCAGTGTCTTTTCCATGAAGTAGATAATTTAATGAGAAATGCAATATTTTCAAAACTTGAATACCTTTTATAAAAGGTTTATACGTATACTGTCAAATTTTGCTGTGAAGTGTGAACTCTCACAAGTTTGTAAGTTTGTATCCTGTCGTGTGTATTTCTAAAATTTCCACATCTGGCGTAATTGTCTAGGTTGAAATACACTGTTAATGAGGTTCAGGAGCAATTAAAACCACTGTAATGACTGGTAGCCCAGTTGACACCTTGTTGATTACCTGTTATCAGCGGCAATAAACAGATATCCTAGATTTCTACCGATAAACATTGCAACAGCCATGTTTTCTGCACACGGAAATACTGTATTATTCAAAGCAAATCGGTAAAAAATCCGGATTTTCGAAAATCGGTAGATTTGGGGTGAAAAAAATAAATCGGTAGACAAGCGGTAGACAGTGTTCAAAATCGGTAGACTCCCGAAAAAATCGGGAAAGTTGGCATGTATGCAATAAAGTTTCTTCAAAATTTTTGTTCATTTCATTCAGATGTCCAAAACCTGGCCATGTTTTTTTTTTACAAGAACTTTGAACAAATTAACTTTGTGAATCCATTTTTGTGAAAAAGGAGTCTTGATGTTGAGAATGAGGCCTATATTTTGCCCGACACAAGGGAAGTGGAAAATCCCTGTTTGAAGTTTTTTATTACACTCATTCATGAGAAATTATCATTCATTACTGATTGGATAATTCTGTGTTGACCTGCCTCACATTTCAGACAAAAAGATCAGAGCTGTTTACTTATTGGTTAATTCTGTGTTGTCCTCCCATTTCAGCCAATAAGATCCGAGCTGGCCTGACATCATCACCAGGATGTGTGACCCCGTTACCAAGACGACAGTCCCAGCTGATGAAGTCCCTGTTCACCCTCCAGAGTCCCCTAAATGACAGCTTCCTCTCCCCCTTCCCGTCCCAGAACAAATCCTCCAATACAAAGAAAGGGGAGGAAAACCTGACCCCCGCCACATCAGATAGCTCTGTTAGACTCAGTAGAGGTGGAAAGCCCAACAGAAAGAAACCAAGGAATGTTTTAAATGAAATTGTCAATGACAAAGTAAAGGAAGGTGAAGGGGGTGTAGAGGAGGAGAAGAATGTGATTGACCTTGATGTGATAGGTCAAAGATCAAGGACAGAGGAAAATACTGGTGATGTTAGTTCTGAAACACAGAAAAGGGTGGCTGAAAATCAAGAGATGATGGAAAATGCGAATGCTGGTGAGTGTAATGATTTATTCAAAATCTTTGACAATAAATGTGAGCCAAGAGTTGACACTAGTTTTAAACAAGAAAATTTCTTAGGCCAAAAACAGAACTCAATATTTGATTTCTTTATTACTGGTACTATATACAGGGTTATTTTTGCCATTCACAATTGCAACCAATTTTATCCCATTTTAATTTCGCCCAATTACATTTGTTTTGTAAAAAGTATACAAGACTAGTGTTATCCCATTTTAATTTTGCCCAATTACATTTGTTTTGTAAAAAGTATACAAGACTAGTGTTCTTTGACTTTGCCCTGTTTTAAATTCACCCACCTGTGAGTAGGGTGAAAGGGGCAAAATAAAATGGGGGCAAAATTTTCCCTGTATACAGTATCAAGTTCTAAATACAATAACATAGAATGACAATTGGTGTATCAGATGTTTAATAAATGAAAGAAATATAGAACATGTAGAATATCATGTAGACATGAGAAACTAAATATTTGATGCTTAATCATGTTTATGAGTGAAACAAATACAGATTATGTTGACATTACAAACGTGAAGTATGTAGTTACTAGTTATATATATATTCAATGTGTACATTTCTTTGATACAGATGGAGGTTTGACAGAAGACAAACTGTTATTAAGTAACTGGGGACTTCCTGAGCCTGTGTTAAAACAGTACACAGATAAGGGGATCACCTCAATGTTTTCCTGGCAAGCAGAATGTCTGTGTTTACCCGGGGTGCTAGGTGAGTGAGATTGAATTGAATTATGGATATTATTCAACAGAGATACATGTCATCATGGTCATATTGGGTTTTAATTAACCAACAAATATTTATATGCAGAGTTTTAAATCTCTGTTGATAAACGCTGACTTTGTTTTGTGTATTATAAAAAGTTATGCCTAGAAAAAAAGTCTGTTTCTGATCTCCGAATCAATGTTGATTTATAGTGGCGACATTATTTTTTAAAATGCTTTTTAAGAATATATGAATTTTCATTTTTTTGTCACTTGCATGAAAATTTCATTCAAACAATACAAATCAGGAGAATCTAAGCAAACACCGACCTCTAAAATATCAGAGGTGGGATCAGGTGCCATGGAGGAGTGAGCATTCCTTCTGTGTGCTCCTTGCCTTATGTAATCAGATATAATTACTCAACAGAGTTATCTTTCCTTGCTATTCATTAATTTGTTTCATCATTGTCTTTTGTATAATTCTAAAGGGGACTAGGAATACTTGGCCCCTCACTGTCATTATGCAAAGTTATCTAAAATTTATTTCTATATAAATCTAGGGGGTGACAACCTGGTATACTCGGCCCCCACTGTTATTCTGCAGAGTTATCTATCTTTGTTATTTCCGTGTAATTCTAGGGGAGGTACCCTGGTATACTCGGCCCCCACTAGTGCTGGTAAAACAATGGTGGCAGAACTCCTGGTCCTAAAGCGAGTCCTAGAAACAAAGAAGAAAGCCATCTTTATCCTACCTTTTGTGTCTGTGGCCAGAGAGAAGATGTTCTATTTACAAGTAAGTTGTTCCTGACATTCATATCGACAGGTAACTAGGTCAGCTGCTAATTTTTTTTTACAAGTAGGTTATACTGTAGATTCCCTATTTTTTGCCAGTACTTACTATCCCAAAATGGCTATTAGAAGTCAAATCGTGAACAAAAATTATTTCTGAGAAGACTGTTGATCAAGACATTTTACTTGGATTTAATCAACCCAAAAATTAAATTGTGTACATTTGTTTTGCTGATGGTGCTTCTCACGAAATTTATGCTGTAAAAAATTCATTGCATAATATGTTTTACGGTGTGACCTTTGGGGAGAGTGCAGTCCTATACACAGCTTTGAATCGCTGAACGTCAAACTGCACTAGACACATTGTAGACTGTGACGTCACATGACATCAGAATTTACGGAGACAGCCAAACATCTGGTTAAAAAAGACGACAAGTCTTGTTCAATATTAAATTAAATACGTTGTAGAGTAGATGAAAATATTATTTGTTACAAAAAAAGCTTTGTTGAAATTAAGAAAAGTAAACATATCTTGGGAAAGAATATTTATTCTTGGTCTTTTGTTTGTTTTAAAATAAATACGGATGGAACATTTGGAGTGAGGGAATTTTGGGAATGTTGCACAGGAAAATTTGGCTGACGTTATACAGGTTTCATTCCAAATTTCTTCTGTTCTTACATGTTAGTCTGTAGAGCTCGCTTGCTGGGGAGTTACTCTGAATCATTTTATTGTTTGTTTACAGCAGCTGTTCCAGGATGTAGGTGTGGTAGTGAGCGGGTTTATGGGGAGTTACTCTGAATCATTTAATTGTTTGTTTACAGTGAGTGGGTTTATGGGGAATTACACTAAATCTTTTCATTTTTTATATACAGCAATTGTTCCAGGATGTTGGTGTCGTAGTGAGCGGGTTTATGGGGAGTTACTCTGAATCATTTTATTGTTTGTTTACAGCAGTTGTTCCAGGACGTTGGGGTGGTAGTGAGCGGGTTTATGGGGAGTTACTCTGAATCATTTTATTGTTTGTTTACAGCAGTTGTTCCAGGATGTTGGGGTGGTAGTGAGCGGGTTTATGGGGAGTTACTCCCCTCCTGGGGGGCTCAGTCAGGTGGACATAGCGGTGTGTACCATAGAGAAAGGAAACGGACTGATCAACAGACTGATGGAGGAAAACAGCATCAACAAGCTAGGTCTGTTGTCATACAGCCTCAACAAGCTAGGTCTGTTGTCATGTAAAACAGCATCAACAAGCTAGGTCTGTTGTCATACAGCATCAACAAGCTAGGTCTGTTGTCATGTAAAACAGCATCAACAAGCTAGGTCTGTTGTCATACAGCATCAACAAGCTAGGTCTGTAATACAACATCAACAAGCTAGGTCTGTTGTCATACAGTCTCAACAAGCTAGGTCTGTTGTCATACAGTCTCAACAAGCTAGGTCTGTTGTCATACAGTCTCAACAAGCTAGGTCTGTTGTCATACAACATCAACAAGCTAGGTCTGTTGTCATACAACATCAACAAGCTAGGTCTGTTGTCATACAGCATCAACAAGATATATATTTGGGTGTTAAAGATTTGGAAAGTTCAACTCATGTTAAGAGGGCTGGGTGGTTCAGGTTGGGGCCATTTTCAGACCACTTTGATCTCCTTTAAAAGAAGAGCTTCTTGGAAATATATATACAGAAAATGATCAAATTTTAAAACGTTTTTTTTTTTTTTGGCGAATGATAGTTGAAATCTTAAAAGATATTATATCTGATGGTTATTTGTTGACTACCCAGCCTCTTTAGTTTGACCCCACATCTAGAATCAAAATTATTTCATTTAAATAAACTTTTCTCACCTGTCCACCAGGTATTATAGTGGTAGACGAGTTACACCTTGTAGGAGACCAACACAGGGGCTACCTGCTAGAACTGATGCTCACCAAGATCCGATTCCTCAGTCAGAAAAAGTCAACAAAAACAACCGACACTGAGGATTCTGGGTAATGAACATGGAGTTTTTTTGTCAAGTGTCTACTAAATGGTAGAGATAAAGTACACTAGTATATATTGACTCTTTAATGCCACCGTTTTTCAGTACTGTTCAATATTTTTTTAAAGATTTTTTTACGATATTTGCTTTTCTCTTTAAAGCTGTACAGAAGGAGTCCAGATTGTAGGTATGAGTGCCACCCTACCTAACCTTGACCTTCTGTCTCACTGGCTGGACGCCACGCTCTACCGCACAGACTACCGCCCCGTACCTCTCACCGAGTGTGTCAAACTGGGGGCAGACATCTTTGATTCCAGTCTACAGAAAATCAGAGAGGTGGATCTTAGAGTGGTGTGTAAGGGGGATACAGATCATGTGATTCCGCTGTGCTTAGAAACATTGGGTGGGGGACACTCAGTGCTTATTTTCTGTCCAACGAAGAACTGGTGTGAGAAGTTGGCAGAGACAATTGCCAGGGAGTTTTACAACATTCTGAAGAAAGGTAAGAATGAAAGAAAAAGCATGTTTTCCCAAGTTTATGTTGTTTGTGTGGGGAGGTATGTCTCTCAGACTGTCTTTATGATGGGTCAGAGGTACAATCTACAGGTAAACTTCGTTATCTCGACATCGACGGGACAGTCGGAAAATGTCGAGATATCCGAGGTGTCGAGATATCAGAGTTGAGACTCGACGTCCTTAATTTTACTGCATAGTAAAACCAAAGACCTAAACTGAACATACGTGTACCTGCAGGTACATATATGTCTTCAATAAGGCTGTAGTTCGTTTGTTTAAGCTATGCTTCTACATTTATTAGAAAATCTAAAGAAGATATTCAAAAATGTTATTCATGAAATGCTTTCTTTTTTTATCGAAACCTTCTCATTTCACGAAAAACCGTTTTCCATCCAGCATTCGATCCGCGTGCCATAAAATGATAAATAACAGCCATTAGCTCTGTCAGAACAGGATTCGAAATGCGCTTGATAAACTCCGAACCGGAACGGTGTAAAGTCGACTTCCGAGATACGGAAAAAAAAAATAATGCGTATATTTTTAAAATTATTTCATTTCACATCTTTTATTATTTCATAATCATTTATCATTAATTTTCAATTCATTTTTAAATCAAAATTTAAATGGAATTGGGCATTTAACAAACGTTACCTATGCATCCACATTACGGCTGATGCTATATAGTCGTGCATGTCGTAAATTTGATTGATTCATATTGAATGCATTTTTACTACAATTTTTAAGTTAAATTGAATCCAATGTGTATATAATTTATTGTTATTTAGTTACCTTTTTTTAAAACAAAATATTTAAGTTTTGTTAGATTTCGACACAAATAAACGGTTGTTCATTTACGCAGAATTGAGAAGATTTGCCAATGATAATTACCCAAGCTAAACATTAAACAATTAACGTATAAGAGACTCCGAGGGGGCTTGGGATTCCTCTACAAATACATTTTTCAGAGCAGTATGTAGTCAAAACATGGGTGGGAAAGGTGTGAATTTCTGACGACGTCGAGATAACCGAAGTCGTCCGTGCGTGACGAGCGACCAGCTGACAAACAATTAGGTTAAGTAGAGCAGAAAATTGCACCGATGTCTACATATACCAGGTAAATTTTGCTCTTGGGGCTGTGAAATATGTCGAGATAAGTGGGGTTATCGACATTACCGAGGTCGACATATCAGAGTTTTTGCAAATCATTTATATAGTAAATAATGCCGGGACCGCGGACGGACGTCGACATATCCCAGGTTGTCGACATATCCGATGTCGAGATACTGAAGTTTACCTGTATAAGTTATTAAGGTTCAACATTTGATAAATTCGGATCTACTTTGTAAATTCTGCTTTACTCTGATTAATTCAGCTTTACTTAGTGATGATTTCTATACATTGTCAGGTCCTGAGACGGACTGTTCTTCCCCTCTACCCCTGAACAGACCCTCCCTGATGGAGGTCGTAGAACAACTGAGGAGGACTCCTGTGGGGTTAGACTCTACCCTGGGGAAGACCGTGCCGTACGGGGTGGCTTATCACCACGCAGGTATTGTGATTGTCAGTTGATGCATGTTTTATATCAGATTGCCTCCATCAAGAATTGAAAGAGTGTTACAAATATTTTGCCAATTTTTAGCTCACCTGAGCCGAAGGCTCAAGTGAGCTTTTCTGATCAAAATTTGTCCGTCGTCTGTCGTTGTCGTTGTCGTTGGCGTTGTTGTCGTTGTCGTAAACTTTTCACATTTTCATCTTCTTCTCAAGAACCACTGGGCCAATTTCAACCAAACTTGGCACAAAGTATCCCTGGGTGAAGGGTATTCAAGATTGTTCAAATGAAGGGCCACGCCCTCTTCCAAGGGGAGATAATTATGAATTAGAGAAAAATTAATAGCATTTTTAAAAAATCTTCTTCTCAAGAACCACTGGGCCAGGAAAGATGAAACTCATGTGGAATCATCCTCAGCTAGTGTAGATTCAAGGTTGTTCAAATCTTGACCCCCGGGGCTAGGGTGGGGCCAAAATGGTCGACCAAAGATTTACATAGGAATATATAGGAAAATTCTTTAAAAATCTTCTTCTTAAGAACCACTGGGCCAGGAAAGATGAAACTCATGTGGAATCATCCTCAGGTAGTGTAGATTCAAGTTTGTTCAAATCATGACCCCCGGGGCTAGGGTGGGGCCAAAATGGCCGACCCAAGTTTTACATAGGAATATATAGGAAAAATCTTTAAAAATCTTCTTCTTAAGAACCACTGGGCTAGGAAAAATGAAACTCATGAAGAATCATCCTCAGGTAGTGTAGATTCAAGTTTGTTCAAATCATGACCCCTGGGGCTAGGGTGGGGCCAAAATGGCCGACCAAAGTTTTACATGGGAATATATAGGAAAAATCTTTTAAAAATCTTCTTCTCAAGAACCACTCGAATTGGAAAAATGAAACTCATGTGGAATCATCCTCAGGTAGTGTAGATTCAAGTTTGTTCAAATCATGACCCCCGGGGCTAGGGTGGGGCCAAAATGGCCAACCAAAGTTTTACATAGGAATATATAAGAAAAATCTTTTAAAAATCTTCTTCTTAAGAATCATTGAGAAAGGAAATATGAAAATAAATGAAATTATCCTCAGGTAGTGTAGATTAAAGTTTGTTCAAATCATGACCCCTGGGGCTAGGGTGGGGCCAAAATGGCTGACCAAAGTTTTACATAGGAATATATAGAAAATTTTTTTAAAAATCTTCTTCTCAAGAGTCACGTTGCCAGGACAAATGAAACTCATGTGGAATCATCCTCAGGTAGTGTAGATTCAAGTTTGGTCAAATCATGACCCCCGGGGCTAGGGTGGGGCCAAAATGGCCAACCAAAGTTTTACATAGGAATATATAAGAAAAATCTTTTAAAATCTTCTTCTTAAGAATCATTGAGAAAGGAAATATGAAACTTAAATGAAATTATCCTCAGGTAGTGTAGATTCAAGTTTGTTCAAATCATGACCCATGGGGCTAGGGTGGGGCCAAAATGGCTGACCAAAGTTTTACATAGGAATGTATAGAAAATTTTTTTAAAAAATCTTCTCAAGAACCTTTGGGCCAGGAAAGACGAAACTTATGTGGAATCATCCTCAGTTAGTGAAGATTCAAGCTTGTTCAAATCATGACCTCTGGGGCTAGTTTTGGGCCCAAAATGGCTGACCAAAGTTGTAAGGATATATAGGGAAACCTTTCAAAATCTTCTTTTCAAGTACTTCAAAGCCATGATTAGTGATATTTTTCTATTTATATGGAATCATCCTCAGGTAGTGTAGATTGTACATTGTTCAAATCATGACACCCAGGAGGGTTAAAATTCAAGCCCCCCCCCCCCCAGTAAACTTTCAGTTTTGATCTGATATGTGCTTTTTCCTAGTAGATGTGCTCAGGTGAGCGATGTGGCCCTTGGGCCTCTTGTTGTTATTGTTTTAACAAAGTTAACGGTGAAGACTACAGCAATTATCAGTATTTATCAGTAACAGCTAAAATTATCAGCAACAACAAGAATGATGACAGTAAATATCAGTATTAATCGGCAAGGACAGCACAGCATCAGTAATAATCCAACATTTTCAGTAATATTCATGATTCATGGCATTTTTTTCATTTGAGTAGTGTAATAATCATATTTCAGATCCATTATTGACAGATATTTGTGACTCGATCTTGCAGGTTTGACCTTTGATCTTTTTGATTTGACCTTTGATCTCGCAGGTTTGACCTTTGATCTTTCTGATTTGACCTTTGATCTTGCAGGTTTGACCTTTGGTCTTTCTGATTTGACCTTTGATCTTGCAGGTTTGACCTTTGATCTTTCTGATTTGACCTTTGATCTTGCAGGTTTGACCTTTGATGAGAGAGACATTTTAGAGGGGGCCTTCAGACAGGGGTCAGTTAAGGTCCTGGTAGCTACCTCCACCCTGTCTTCCGGGGTCAATCTTCCTGCCCGCCGTGTTATCATCAGGACCCCGATCTTCCACGGCAAAACCATAGACTTCCTGACATACAAGCAGATGATTGGTCGAGCTGGAAGAAAGGGGGTGGATACACAGGGTCAGTGTATTTTAATATCCATCACTCGTATGATGACTTGCTGATTTTTTTTTTGTAGTAAAAGTGCGCATTCTGTAAAAAATTTAGATCTCTCCAGAACAACTGTGCCAATGTTAATCAAAAAAAATTGAGTTTGATGCTCAATAATTCTTCTCAATAAAATGTATATAGAGCTCAAGTATTTTTTACTTCAAATTTCTTTATCCCATGGATAGAACCATAATCATCATTCATATTTTATTTCTACTATATTGATTAACAAATATCATACAAGTTACATAGGGGTATAAATTATATCAATCGATAACACAGGGTTCAAAATGCATAAACCAATGAGAAAAAATTTCTGTCTCCACAAACTTGAACATCCTCTTTACTTTTAACTTCCAAGCAGCCAAGTCATACATGACATATAATCTTTTTTAGAGTTTTGAAATTGACATGCAGTGTAAGGTTATACACGCCAACCCATGTAATGTTCAAATGATATTGTATAGATAGTTTTCGATAAGACTGAATTTAGCAAATATAACCTCCTGTTTGCCGCCATATTGGAGGTTGACTCAGTGATTTTCCCTCTTTGTCTTACCAAGTTTAAGAAAATATAGCAGAAATATTTGGTGGAAAATCTTTATCAAATAATTTTCCTTAAATAAAGAAGGCTTTCAAAAATTTATATACTTCAGAAAAATAATGATTTCTAATTCAGAATAGCAAATATAAAAATTTTAAATTGGTTGAACAATGAAGGAATATGAGCATTTGGTCCTCCTGTATGGCGGCCAATGGGAAGTAATTC